CCCCAAAACCCCAAAACCCCAAAACCCCAAAACCCCAAGGATTGTCAAGTAAAGTTATAATAATTTAGAATTAATTAAATTAAAATTGGAAGATCGCTTATATAAATATATTAAATTACATACAATAAATATTTCGCTTTTTTCACATTCCAATAACCACTTTTATTCACTTTCACTTATTACAACAGTTTTATTATAAAAATGGAAAACAAAACACCTAATATCATAGGAAATAAGTATATGTCGCCAATTGGAGGAGTAAAGCTCCCTCTCGGTTTAATGACAAACAAATCCCCTACAGCAAAAGTAAATAAATTGAAGATGCAGTAAACAATGGTACATTAGAAATTACCTCAAAAGTAGACCACCATGTCTAGAACTAAGTTGAATGGAGTGGGATTTGCAGATAACTTCTAGTACAAGTCACAAAATACAGATTACTACTCTGATGTCTCAGGAATATCACCTAGAGCTGGAAGTAATCTCTAAAAATCAATCCCCAAATTTTAACTTGAGTCTAAAGCAGGGAAAAACTATGATTCTTTTGAGGAATTTATCAAGACTCTAGGCTGTGCTGATATTAAGGGTATGGTGATGAAATTCCGTGCTTTCAGTGGCTATTACGGAGAAAAAGACAAGGAAAAGGAACGTCAAAATTTGCAGGAATTTTTCAAAATAGCTGATAAAGATGGCAATGGGGATATCTCATTTGAGGAGTTTCAATATTTTGGCTCGTAAATCATCTTGATTGAGGGCATTTCTCAAGCCTCTGAAGAGCAAATGTATGATTTGTTCAAGAAGATAGACGTGGACTAAGATGAGACCGTGTCATTTCATGAGATGTTCAACTATTGGTGCCTATGTTGTGCTGATAAATTAGCAGTAGTTGAAGAGGAGGCTAGAAATAGGGGTATTGATGTGTGAAAAAAATATATCATTCTAAGAGGCTTTTGATATAAATAAAGATTAAAACTTGATATAATGACACATATAGAGTTATAAAATTAAGAGATTATTTTAAGAATCAAATACTTTATACATAATTTTAATATACTATCACTCATATCTTGTATCTTTTATAGTCATATCTAATAATTGATTTCTAAGTTTCAATTATTGCTCTTCAAATCTGATTTGTCCTTTGATTTTTTGGAAGAGAATTGATTTGGTGACTTAGATTTACTCTAGTTGTTAGATTGAGATTTTTTGAAGCTTTTCTTAATCCTTTTGGAAAATTTACTCTTCTTTGGAGAGGGATTGTGAGATGATCGCTTAACTTATTCATCATTTACGCTATTTTCTATCTTCTTAGCATTTATTTTATCCTTTGGTTCATCGAATTCTTTTTAATCTTCTGATTTCAAGTTCTTTTTATTGTTTGTACCAGACATCTCCAAATTCCCAGTGTTCTCAATCTTAACTTGAGGTATATCATTTGAATTTTAAGAATTTGAACTTTCTGTTTAAATATTAATGTTTCCACTAGATATATGATTCCCTAGTCCATGGTATTTATTATTTGAGTATAACTGAGGGTATTATTTCCTCTTACTTTCTTTGATTAAATGCTTTTGCAAATGTGATCTAACTTACACTATAGTTCTAGTCTTAATGTGATCTGCAATCTCTTTCAATTCTAATGATTATATTTAAAAATCTATCTTTACTCTTAGGACCATAAGTATTAAGACCTTCTATGAAAAGTTATTGTTCCTCTTCAGTCCATGGTATTTTAACTTGCTTTGGCCTCTCTTTCATTTATATATGAGGCTTTTGATTGCCTAAAATGTCCTCAGCACTCTAATTATGTCATAATAATATCATCATACAAATAAAGAATCTTAAAGTGGAAATTTCTGATAAAAATCTTGTAGATCCTCTTTAGAAATAAGTTCCCTATTTTCCCTCAAAACGAATCTTGAATTTGATTGTAAATCAGCAGCACTTGCCAAGAATACTAAATTCTAATGTAATCTCTCTACTAGCCTAGAAATAGTAATTAGGACAACAAATTTAATTAATTAGATAAACCACTAATTTTAATATCAGATTTACTTACTTAACGCAATCATCATTTTTTTCTGAGTTCATATCTTCCAGACATTTCAATATCATATTTTTGTTGTCTTCCAATATCTAAACAAAAAATCATTTGAATTTTAGACAGAAACATACAGATTAAACTTAGAATGTATTAATTGTTGAGATAGAGTAGGGAGATTATGAAGGTATATTCGGTACTCCCATAGGCTAAGGATAACCACTATACATAATTATATAAATACTTCGCGGAAATTTGATGAAATAAGTAATTATTTCAAAAGTCAAATTACAAATAACCAGGGAACATGCTCATATTAATTGGATGATTCTATGGATATGCAGAGGGTGGTGGTGGCAAATTCTACTGCTAAAATTACTTTTAGTCTTTTGTAGGCACCGCCAAATTTTCTTTTAGTTTCTAATCAATTTCCGCCATTTTAAAAATATTTTAAACTATTAATTAATCAAAAACCACTTTTAAATTCAATTGAAACATTTAATTTTGAGTTTACCATACTCCTGACATGGCAGTTCCACCAGATTAATTGAATACTCGTTAGGCTAATTCATGAAGATTATTCAAACATTCAAACTTTTGTAACTTATTCTAATCCTTTTTATAAAACTATAATAAGGTCAATGAGTGAGTAACTATCAAAGAGAGGGAGACCCAAAGGCTCTAAGAATAAAGTCAGAGATCCTAATGATACCAAAAGCCTCTTATTCACTCCTGGAAAGAAGAGAGGTAGAAAAGCAATGAGAAAAAGCAAATATAGTAAATATGATGGTTCCTAAATGGAAGGCCATAGCATAGGTGTAAGATTGGAAGATGATGGTTCAATTTCAACAGCTAATTCTCAATCTAGTACTAGCAGTACTGACGGTCATAGCTCAGAGGATTCATCTTAAGACAACAAAAAGTCGCTGAATCCCAAATTCAGAAAGAGAAAGATATATGAAAGCTAAGAAGAAGTCTAGAAAGCTATACAAAGAAAAGCAAATGTAATTCTTAATGACAAAGCTACAAAAGAATACTAAGCTTGCATTGTTAAGGCTATGAAATGCTTGAATTATTCAAGAGAGATGAAAAGTGTGACCAAAGATTAGATAAAATACTATGTCAATAAAGCGATCTCTTACTATAGGAAAGGATTTGATCACTCCACTACAGATTAATTGAAAGCGAAATTGCATGTCCTAATAGCTGAGTGCCATATGGAGTTATGTCCAAAATAGTATGAGCATGATTTAAAAGGGAAATAAATAGCAAAAGCTTGTGAATCACTAAAGAATGCCTTAGCAATATCAACTGACTTTGATGATTAAGTAACTGATGATTACGAACCTAAGATAAAATCGTTGATTTAAAAATAGCTCATAGAAAAAATTGATGATGGTGAGCTATTATGTACTCTGTTTGAGATGATATTCTAGTAGCTAAACAAAAGAATGCCAAAATTGTTAGATTTTGTGGGAAGTGAGCTATATCAAAGCTACTTCAGAATAGCTTGTGAGATATCTGATCTCAAAGGAGATTTAGAAAATGCAATGAGATATCTCAAGTAATGCAAGGTCATATCAAAGACGATCGGAATTAAAGACAATGCTATCATAGACATGAAGCTTTAAGAAATAAAGAAAGTTAAGAAGAGAAAATGTAACGAGAAGAGTGCCATTGAAGCTAAAAATAACATTCACTTAGGAGATGTTTATGCCTCTAATAATTAGATAGATGAAGCATTAATTCAATACAGATAAGCACTGAAAATGGCTAAAGATTGCAATGATATTGAAACGGAAGCACTTTGCAATTTTAGAATTGGTAAAACTCTATTCTCAATAGACTAATAACTTGACAAAGCTCGTAATCATCTAGTGGATTTCTAGATATAGTGCTAAATGGGCAAAGAAAAAGGAGATAATTTGAGTAAAAAATACAAAGAAGCTAATTATATGCTTGGACTCATCAATGATATACTATAAAAACGAAAATCACCAAAACAAAAGCTTTCAAGGTACGAAGAATTACTTCAAAGAGAAAAATATTAATCAAAAGATTCACAGAGGAATCCTAGTTCGAAAAGAGATTCTAAGCAGAAAGCTGCAGATGGAAAATCTGTAAACCCTCAATAGAAAGAAAGAAAAATGAAAATAGATTATCAGAAGGTACTCAAAGACATAAATGAATTCCCTAAATAGAAATCAATAATTGAGTTTTGCAGATATATTAAGAGTACATTCAAAATAAAAACTCAGGAACTAGTTTAAATAGAGGAGAAAATGGAAAAGGTTAAGATAAGGAGGAATATATTGCGATATATTCAAGTATTTCATCCAGATAAGCAGAACTCAACTGAAGATACTGAAGAATTCCTGAAATGCTCAGAGGAAATA